CTTTCCACAGATTATGGATATCTGGAAAGTATTTGATAAAAATGTTTGGTTTTGTATTATCACTACACTTGTAGTTATGACTATAATCAACACGTTAATTAATTTTATAAATAATTTTAAAATTTTAGTTGAACTGTTGTTAAAATATTTTTGGATATATTTTAAGCCACTTTTGTTGATCGGAGAGAGTTTAGGTGTTTGTAATTATTTGTATTTATTATGGGTTTTATCGATCACACCATTAGTACATATCCTACAAAACGACTTAACGGCCCAAATGGTGAACAGGGATGTCATGAATGTGGACACAATCGACGACTTATTTGATGATAGGCTCGAGGTTTATGCCGATTATTATTTGTATACAGACTTTCAATCGCCTGAATATTACTCGCAATTTGAACCAACATTTCAATATAAATTCAAACAAATGCTACAACGGTTACGCCAAATGAACACCCAGCAACTATTCAATATTATCGAAAAGCAAACGAGTTTCTATGAAATGTTTAAAAATATTGCATTTATCACAAAGTATTTCTGACCACGCTCGTATCATTTTTATCGCGACTCGTGCCCTACCATATCGGTCGACCAGATTTGCCTATTTATTTGACATCACTATGTTATGCACCGGACTTTCAATACACAAATCAGGCCTATGTTATGTGAGTTTTTAAAAATATATCTATTTTTGTATAATATAAATATAAATATTATTATTATATAATAGTTTTCAACGCCTATTCGAGGCATCGATTATCCAACACTGGGATAATTTATTAGCTGACTATTACTATCAGGTTTATCGAGAAATTATTGATGGGAGTGGTATTCTAGGGGACAGACATCTGCATGACTTATACATCGATCCCATCTCCATATACGAACCATTGGCTTATAACACATTTAAATCTCTTTTCTTATTCATTGGCTATTGTTTCACATTTGCATTGATAGTATTGTTTTCAGAAATCCTATGCAAAACATGTTTTATAATAAGATTATTACTATTAATATAATCATCATTTTCATAAACATATTTATTTACTGAATTAACTTAAATAATTATTTACTAGTTAGTTTATATTTTTGTGAATAGTTTTACTTGATGAAAAACTTTTGAAAATAACACTGTATACTTTATATTAAATTGAGTAACGTTTTTAATTATTGCACTAAACGATTAATAAATAAAAATTGTATTCAGTATCCTGTTTATGTTGTATTGCATATAATTTACCTTTTAATTACTTATTAATATACTTATTAATTATATTGTATAAAATAATCAAATATATTATATTATTATATTTTGAATTAACCTTCACATACTGTTTTACAAATATTTTGTTACTTAAATCAATTATACCTGTTTAAATTTATAATTATTTAAACATTTATATTGTATAATATATCGAAACTAGATTTTCACAATCATTTTGCGTAAAACTTATTTTATTAAACACCGTATAATACAAATACTATGAAAATATTTAATTATTGTAAATGACAATTATTCAAATTATGATTTAGTTTTCATGATAAGTAGCTAATGTCCTTAAATGTCCTTGACGTTATACAATAATTACAATACAATAATTACAATACAATAATTTAAAAGAAACAATTAAGTAATTAGTTTTTATTGCAGTTATATTTTGTATTCATTAAATTATTAAATATAATATTGTCGCATGATTGCTTTTATTTCTAATTGGTGTTTAATTAAAACTTACTAATAGTTATTAATTACTTTATTTATTGATAATTAAATAACCGTTTAGTTATAAATAAATACTAACGCCGTTTTTAATAATATCGTTATGTTAGTATATCAATATATTTAGTACAGTACAATATTTTGAATTAGTAAAGATGATTTAATTTTGAGATAGAAATTCTAGAATATTTAAAATACTAATATAGTATATTAATTAATTACAAATTAATATTATAAACTGAATCATGATTTCGTTTAGAGAACTGCTTTATTTGTTTGACAAACCATTTGAATTCATAGAAAGGCATTCCTATGGATTTTGGCATAAATTCATTGAATCCGTGAATATGTCTTATATTGACTGCAATTCATACCTCAAATCCCGTGAATTACCGATTCGTGACAATAGCTTTCATTTGATGACATTTAATGACCAGGTATAAAATATTGTTAATAGACTATATTAAGTTATTATTAATATTAATAATGAATAAAAATAACACTTATTTAATATTACTTTCAGATAGAATTTTTAGAAATAAATGGTACGAAAGGGTTGGCATATTTTAATTCACTAGTAGTTCCCATATTAGACCAGATTGGGAGATACCACAATTATAGGTGATGTAGATTTTATAATTAATTTAAAATTTCATTTGATGACATTTAATGACCAGGTATAAAATATTGTTAATAGACTATATTAAGTTATTATTAATATTAATAATGAATAAAAATAACACTTATTTAATATTACTTTCAGATAGAATTTTTAGAATTAATTCACTAGTAGTTCCCATATTAGACCAGATTGGGAGATACCACAATTATAGGTGATGTAGATTTTATAATTAATTTAAAAATTATTAGTTACCTTTTAAATTATTACAATTCTAGCGTGAACCTATTTGTGTTTAATTGTTCAGCATGGGATGAGACACAAAATATATCCAAATATGAATTAATTAGACAAGGTGCAATCACCTCGTTGGATACTACTCTCATTGATTATACCTGGCACACTCAAGTACAGTCACTGAATTGTACACAACCGCTATATATGGGATATATTATGAATTACATCAGTATTAATGTCTATAAACCCTTTCCACAAATAATGGATATTTGGAAAGTATTTGATAAAAATGTTTGGTTTTGTATTATAACTACATTTATAGTTATGATTATAATGGATGCATTAATTAATTTTAAAAATAATTTTAAGATTTTGATTGAATTATTGTTAAACAAGTTTTGGATATATTTTAAGCCACTTTTGTTAATCGGAGAAAGTTTAGGTGTTTGTAATTATTTGTATTTATTATGGGTTTTATCGATCACACCATTAGTACATATCCTACAAAACGACT